TGTGGGTAATAGGCCCTCACGTCTAAATTCTTTAAGGCAGTTAGGGGGAAGATCATAGGTTCTTCTTGAGTCTTCTGTTTTTTAAAAATACTAAATTAATCCTCATGCCAGAGACACATTTTGATGTGACAAATTTTGTTCCCTTACAAAAGAAATGATGAAGACTTGACTAAATTAGTGGGTGTGATGGTAACAATCCTTCCTGGACCACAGTGGTTCCCATGCTGCTGCCAGCTCACCTCAGTGGTCTGCTTGGATACAGCTGAATCATCAGTTCAGGTCTCAAATTATCATCTATACATAGGACAAGAGCTTTGGTCTGGGCCCTAAACTGGTCCCTTTTCCCTACTCCTGCCATCGGAAGTGAGTGACTAACCCCACATCCATCTCCCTCGAGAGGACTATGTCAGAAGACACATATTCTTATGTTGGTCACATCAGAAGCAAGGGATGCTGATCACTGATCCAACAGCTTCTTTAGTTTTAGTTCATCAAAAGAGAGCAATCTCAGAAAGAAGCATCTCTTAGCACTTAGCAGATACGAACAACCTCTGCTTTCTGGGAGCAGTATTTGCTCCACATTTGCTTTTGTTTTTTTCTTTTTATTTTCTAAGATAGTCACATTCAAAACTTTAAAGTCTGTCCTATTCATGATCTGTCATGAATAGTTCAAAGGTAATTAAGGAACACAAAGTATTCTTCAATTTGAACATCAGTTTTTATTATGTGGGACACCTAATAAGGAAATAATAACCATAGCAAATGTTATTAAAATTTTGTTATTAAAAGAAAAATGGGCATTTCATGGTAAAATTTTTGGTACAAAGAATGCAGTAAATTCCCCCTTTGTCATACACTCTTTGTTCCCACCACAGAAGCAAAAAGAAAACCAGAAATATACTGCTAGGCTAAAAAATAAGATAGGTGTCTCCATGAATCAGAAGCAAAACAGGAACTCAAAGTAGGGAAGTGGTCTGAAGTCATGAAGCCTCTGTGCACTGGGTCTAAAAAAAGATAGTATTCAGTCTTGCCCCCTAGAGAAAAGGAAGAATTGAAATGCTCCACACTAGATATGGCCCAGAGCCAGGCTCTTTGCTTGAAGTAAAGATTCTTCCTGCTTGTGAAAAGAGCACATATGGAGGCCTAGAGGTGCAGGGGACACACAGGCTTACTACCAAGGACCAAGGTTAGTTACCCTCTGACTCAGGGGATAAATCTGTGAGAACCACTATACCATCCACAATATCAAGAGCCCCAAAATAATGTTATATGCCCTGCTTAGACAGTGGGTTTTTGTGAGCTGAAAGGATGCTAAGGAAGAAGCCTTGAAACAGCAAGGAATAAGCAAGAAATCGGGCAATGAGAAAACAAAATTTGGCCCTGGGCTTATACTTCAGAACACAGAAAGAAATCTATGCTAAAAAAAAGGTAGACATAAAGATGACAACATTTTAGATTATATCTTATGTAGCAATCTGAAAAAAATTTATGTATGGTATGATGTACAAAGTGATAAATGAAAGAATTACACTTGTTAAAAAGGTTAAGAAATAATGAAACAAAAGTTGGCAGGAACAAAACAAAAACAGGGAATACACATAAATAAAGATAAATTTTCATAAATAAAGAATACAGTTATTCATTTTAATATTTTAATTGGCTGAACAGGGCAAAATTAGTTTAATTAATCAAATCTAAAGGCAACTAGTTGAAAAACTTCAATAGGTGAGATAAATTCTGTACTGATAACACTTAAGTAAAGTTAGCAAATTAAAAGATAATACTGTCATTGCTCCATGATTTAGCACAGTGAGACAATTCACAGGTGTGGTGGGAGAGGCTCTAACTGAGGAGATTAAGCGTTTACAAAAAAGAATGGAGGGGGTGATTGGCACAATATTTGAAGAAATGACTATGAAAATTTCCAAGACTTAAATAATGATATGAATCCACAGACTGACAAGGCATTTTAAGTATCTAGAGCATAATTCAACACTACGACCACACCTAGATATGTGATGGAGAAACTGCAGAGTACCAAGCATAAATAAAAGTAAGTAAAAAGTTTAGAAGGTACCAAAAGACAAATAGCATAGTATCTCCAAAGGAGTAAGTATTAAACTGATAGGAGCTTTCTCTTCTGCAGTAGTTGGTGCAAGAAGACAATGGAGCAATATCTTCAAAGTACTGAGGGGAAATCAGTCTACCCAGAATTTTATACCCAGCTAAACTACATCAAGAATAAAGATAAAATAAAGACATTGTTTAAAATACAGAGCCTAGGAGAATTTAACACCTACACTCTAACTTAAGTAACTATTCAATTATGTGTTTCAGCAAGAAAGATGAACCCAGATGAAAGGCATAGGACAAAATAAAAAATGACAATGGGGAGGTAGGACATGACAGAGGCTAAATTACTAATTAGCAGGAAAATATGGAAAAAGAACCTATGAAACAGGCAAAAGAATCAAACGATTCTAAGAAAAAGGAAACTGAATGACTGACACAAAAAGATACTCAACTTCCTTTATGAATAGGAAGTTAGATGAGACAATATTTCACGTGCCTCAGAGTGGCAAAAATTTTAAAGGCTGATACAATCAAATGTTGGAAAACAATATGGAGAAATAGAACTATTATACACTGCTGACAGACAGATAATTGACACAAAATTAGAAGACACTTTCACAATATCTCATATAGTTGAAGATGGGCATACTCTACTATCCAGGATTTCCAACGTAAGGTTTAGGGTTAGGTTTGTCCCAAAACATTAATTGTAGCATTATTTGCAAAAGTGAATGACTGAAAACAATTTATCTAACGTATTTTAATTATCTGTGAGACACTAAACTAATGAAAATACGTGTAAGTTCTGATAGATGTAATCCTTGGTACTTCCAAGTACTGATAATGGCCTTTTCCTCTTTTCCCAATTCCCCTTTCTCTATTCATTTCTCTTCTGCAGAACCTCTACCTGTAACCAGTGTTTCAATATATGACTATAAACCTTCTCCTGAAACAGGAGTCCTGTTTGAAATTCATTATCCAGAAAAATATAACGTTTTCACAAGAGTCAACATAAGCTATTGGGAAGGGAAAGACTTCCGGACAATGTTATATAAAGGTAAGAGGCTAAAGAAGATGAGAAGTGATGACTAATTTTTTTTACATGATTTTTGCCAAATTCTCTTGCTCTTGTTCTGAAGAGGTCTTATAATTCACTATTCGGTCATAAGTGAACCAATAAAAATAGTTATTAATTCATGAAAAAATGGTAGGGGAAGTCTTAGACTGTCTGGTTCATTATTTTAGAGTCACGTGTCATGCATGAGCATAAGAAAACCTACTATGACTTACAATTACTCTTGCCAAATATTATTCCTACATGTCTGGTGCAGGAGACAAATTCAAATTTAAATTTAGAAGCACCTCACCTAATGATTTCCTCCTGAGTGTATTAGGGCGTTTCTAGAACTGGGAAGCTAGAGGTGCCTTTCACAAAGTTTCACATGGAGCTGGTCCAAGATTATTCTCCAATGCAAAAGACAAGGCTTTCTGGTATATGTTTATCAGTGCAACCAGCTAAATGATTGCATTAACATACGAAAATTGGCTTCACTATTTTTACTGGCTTGCTGGGGACCCCATGCGCAGGGAGAGAGACGAGAGAGATTGGAGGAATTAATCATTTCAAAAGAACCTGGTCACCTTCTCTGAGTAGACTATTTGGGGAGGGTTGGAGAGGGGTCGAGAGCGAGAGGGAGAGAAGGGGAGGGGGCATTCAGCTTTGGGGGACTGAACTGAACTGGAGGAATTTAAATATTCTCAGGACACAGCGCCCTAACATTTATCTGCAGGGGGTGTAGATGATGGTCTCAAAGTTGACTGGTTGCATCTGGAAGCCAGGTAGAGGACAGGTCTGCAAACACAAGGCAAAATATCCAGAAAAATGCCACCTTAACTTGCTATTTTTACAAAATCCTGATTCGGGGAGGTTTTTGTTCGTTTGTTGTTTTTTGTTTTTTTTTAATGAGACAGTGTTTAAAACATACGTAGTGAATTTACAGTTCTTTCAAACTTAAAAAAAACAAATAAACATAGACTCCACAAATTACTGCATTATCTGCAAATTAATAATTAGGACCTTATTTGCTTATTGATCACATAAAACTGTAAGTTCATAAATGATTGAAAAGCAGTCACTGAAAATTTCCTTTGTTAACTTAACTTTGTTAAGCTAAAATCCATGAGTTTAAAAATAAGTTAAGGAATACACTCTCTTTTTTAAGTTAATTAATTTTTAAGTTATTTTTGGCTTTTCATTCAATAAGTGGTACTTTTAGTTTCTTTCACTCATTTCTTTCTAAGTTGGATTGGATTTTTTAATATATTATTATTTTCCAAATAAAATGTTTTTCAAATAAAATTCAAATTTTTTGTTTTCTTCTTTTTTTCAAGCAGGTCCTACTTGCCAAATGACAGACAAACCATTTCACTTTAAAAATAGGGTATATTCTACAAGTGATTCTAGCGAAAACATTTCTTGTAAAATTATTTTTTCCCAAGTCATAAATTGGCAAAATGCCTCGGGTTTTTTTCTTAAAGTAAATGGTTAGCATAAACCTAATCACTATAATTTCTGTATGTTATCTTCTCTAATTAGTACACCAAATGTTCCTATGATAAAAATTTAATTCCAATTGTATCCAATTCTTGCAGAAAAAAGCCTTGCAGGTTTGAGTCTAAAAGTCCAAATTTTCATCTCTAGTCTTCTATCAAGTTTTTATTACTAACCATGCCAGTAGTATTTCATGGATACTTAATAAGAATTATTTAGAACTTTCTAGAAATATGTGGCATTTAGAAGACCACAATTTTAATGTAATTGATTTTTTTCTTCTTAGATTTCTTTAAGGGAAAAACAGTATTTAATCACTGGCTGCCAGGGATATGTTATAGTAATATCACCTTTCAGCTGGTATCTGAGGCAACTTTTAATAAAAGCACTCTTGTGGAGTACAGTGGTGTCAGTCATGAACCCAAAAAGCATAGAACCGGTAAGTCTTCTGGTAAGAACTGATAAGTCAAACTTGTTGGAAACAATTATTAAATTATATGTTGTTGTACACATACTTTCTATCATTCTAAGAAAAACTCTGTTCCAGAGCTAAGAAAGAAAATATATTTTTAATAATCTGAAACAAATTTGCTATCAATGTAAAAGGAACTGAGTAAAATATTCAATATGAAAAATTGTAAATGTCAATGTAATAA